GTGATCAACTCAAGTAAACTTCGTGTGTCACTGTTCTGCACAAGAAAATTAAACGGGAGTTGGGGGTATAGACTCCAGGGTTGGTCGGCTGGTATGAGGGGTAATTCCAAACGGTGTTGACGGCCAATGCTGCATCCGTACTAATTCAGCCGATGAATCCAGGATCAGGGAAAACACAGCACAAATATTATCAAACTTGTGTATAGGAAGAATGTGTACATTATGATTCATATTGAAAACCAGGCTCTCCTTGGAAATGCTTGCCTATCCACGCCTCAGCAGATGCATCCTGTGCAGGTTCCTTCAACACTGCCACTTGAAAGATCCATGATATTAATTTTTCGAAAAGGAACGTGTTTTGGGCAACTGTCTAATTGTATCCGTCTTAAATAAATGAAATTTGACTTGACTTGTGTTTGACTTCTCTCTTTAGTGAGTCTAATTGAATGGTGCGCTACTTTTGTTCACATTTGAACTCTTTGAACCTTCTCCTGATGTCATTTCAGGAATACACTGTTCATTTTTATGGTTTTCCTGTGCCAAAAATCGTTTACTGAAATTAGATATGACACAACTTTGCTAATTTGAATACTTGATGAACTAAACCCGAAATGAATCACCAAACAAAAGAAAACTGAAAAAGGCAGGAAACCAGTCTACCTCCAGCGAGAGCCGGACGCGATTTTAACACAATGGGGAAACTCGACTTGAAAAAAGGCTATAATCATGGCTCATGGGAAGTAAAGTGCGACATTTTCAACAGATTTTTCCCTTTATAGCTAACGCTATATCGTAGGCATCGCATAGCCTATTTAATTTTGTTCCTAAACAAAAACTTGAAAAAATCGTGATGTGGGGCCAATGTGTCTCTTCGTTGGAAGGAACAAAAACCGAAAAGAACCCACGAAGCGGTGCCAACAAACACTTCGTCCGATTGAAAGGAAGCGCGGTACACCATGATCAATTCAAGTAGTCGTCATGTTTCATTGTTTTTCTCTAAAAGGGGGAATTTTCAATCATTTCCCTGTGCGATCTGCAAATTTGCATACAATTATTACACGGAAGAAATGTTTAAAAAAACAGCCGTCCAGGAAGTAAATGTTTCCACAGGATATAAAAGCACTCCCCCTCCCTTTATGGGAGCCAACATACTCTCCAGGATTAACCCACTCAATGTCACCCCGAGGTAAAGGTTAAAGTCTTAGCAGCAGAAATCCGGGCATATAACTTTCATCCATTCATATTTAGGGTATCCAAAGGTGCTCAGTTTTTGTTACATTTCCAAGCCATCCGTTTCACCAACTTTGTAACTGAAGTCTTTCCAGCAGAACTTCTGGGACAAGATTAATCCAAATAAAGATGTCAAAAGACGCTGAGTTTTTTTAAACATTGTCCATGAACAGTTTTACAGACATCAAACCTCAATAATAAAAGGGAGGCCGCGCTTACGTTGTGAAGTAACTTCGCTAGGGGCGTTTTATGGTGTGTATTGCAATGAACATGAACACTGAATGGATGGAACTTTGAAACATATTTTGTAAAAAAAGTGGAATTCGTTGTACGTGATAAATAAAAGCTGAGGACATTACTGATTCACCATCTGGTTCGTAAGTGTGACGTCACTTCAGTTTAAACCACGCCCACTGCACATGCACTGCACATAGAGTTACATGCATTGATCGCTGTTAACATGGAACCATGGAACCGGAAGTTAACGCACAACTTCAGCGATCATCCAGTGCGAGAATCATGACGCGTCCGCATGTATGACGAAGTCACGAACCAGATACCAAATTTCCAGTGCTCGATAGAGGCGAAAAGGGGGCGAAATTTCGGAGGGCGGGGATGGGGGGGGGGTATCTGAAAAGTATTAAATGAACAGTGGCATTGTATGAGTTGTGTTCATTTTGGATTTTAAGTATG